GAATTTGCACCCTCAATCTGTCCCAAAACGCAGAAATTTCTGAGCGGTCCGAGTCGAAATGGTCAAAGATGCGGCGAGTGGACACTATATCCCTAAAGTTTTTTAACGCGTAGTGACACAAATCAACCGTATCTGTGGCTGGTGGTGCATCCAAAGCGAAGGGGTGAAACAATTCCCGCAATAGAGGTTTCGTCTGACGCAGGATCAGTGAACGAAATGTCAGCTTCGTCATTCTATCATACCCTACTATACCTCTGAGTTTGAGCCAGTCAAGCCAATCCGACTATCTTTGAACTTCCATTGATTCCAACTGTGAGAGTGCTTTTTTCCTTCTTTCGGTCCAGTAGTAGTCCGTGAACGGGTCCGTCCCCATTTCCGCTTCGGCCTTCTCCACGAGTCTGTGAAGCTTAAGTTCCTTCCATGATCTGTTAGCCGCCTTCATTCTCGAAAATTCTATCAAGGTGGCTCTGATTATGTTTATACCCACATCTGCCCATATTTCATCATTGTCAAATAGATCATTCGCCTTAGACCACTCTTCCATTTGATTTGTGATCCACAATGGTATGCCCTTATCCTTCATATTATTTATATTTAATTTAAAGGGGGGCCTTTCCCGTGCCACCACATCTCTGGAAACCACATCAAAATAGATGGGATAGTGGTCCGACACTGAGGAAACCATTAGTTCCGATGCACAGCATCTGTCCCACAAAACCCCTCGTGAAACGATAAAATCCAGTCTTCTGCGTGGTATGGGGGCTTGAGGATTAGGCTTAGGTCCGTGCCAAAGAAGGATAAAGGAGTCATGAATCTTTTTTTTTTTTTTTTTTTTTTTGGATAGGACATGCTCCAATCTATTCGTGGGACCGTGCACCGGGCCCAGCGTCCCATTTGAGAAACAATTTGAGAAAAATTATGCAGAATACTTTGAGATACCGGGGCCATTACCCGGCTTCGGCTGAAAAGATGATAACTACGCAAGCTACAGAAAAAGTTGAATCCGTTCTGAGTGGAGAGCAAACCGGGAAGTCATGTCCCGGGTTCAATATGGTGTTCCAGCCCCCGAGGATGGCAAGATTTTCCGTATCCGGTATGAATGCCGGAAGGGATCCAAAAAAGTCAGTCCTCGCTATATAGTCAGTTGGGGCAAAGAGAAACATGATTGCCCAGTCCTCCTCTTGGACAGCCAGTTTTACCCAGACCATCCGCCCTGCTGGATCTATATAGTGATCTAGAACAAGACAGTCCAAGTCAGGATGAATCAAAATAGCTGTTCCACCCTTAGATCCATCGGCCGGTGCCCAGAATTGTGGGCCTCTCCACCAATCCACTGCGTCGTGCATCTTGCCGGGGTTCAGCTTCGTTTCTTGTAAGAGATTCTGAGTGAATCCATGCCAACAAGCGTTGTCTTTTATAGCGGTGTGAGGTATCACCCGACCCTTTTACGTTCCAACTGGCTATGCGAATTTTATTGGGCAGCACCATTAAAGGACGCTTCACTGTCGGGCCCTTGGATACGGCTCAATACTTCCAGAGGGGGGTTCTTGATAAAATTATCTAAGATCACTTTTTGAGTCGCTGGTGGAAGTTATGGGACACTCACCATTGAACGAAGTTGGTGACCTGATACTATTGAAATCGCATCGTTATTGACCAACCAATCGTAGATAATCCTGACCGAGTGCTCACCCATGATATGGATAGAGGCCAATGCATCGTATTTAGGTGTGGCAAAATCCAGAAAAGGATACCATCACACCTTTCCAAAGCACCATGACTCAAAATCACTTGTGACAGATGCAACGCCCATGAAGGCAATGTGAAGTACTGCCTTATAATTATCCAACACCAAAATCACATGTCTTCTCATTTTTGGGTCAGGAACAATGACACAGCTGCCTGTGTTGTTCAAAATGTGCTTGTTGGTTAGGTTCAGAGTCTGATCCTCCATCGGGGCCTTCGGTGTTGCTATCACTGGGATACTGAGATGATCTTCCTCTGATTGCTGTAATAGCACCAACAGTCCCTGTGGGGAGTCGGAACAAATTAAGGGGACCAGATATTCCTTAACTAGTCCCGATGTCTTGTCCGTTCTACTTAGCGTGGTCCCGATGTCTTGTCCGTTCTACCCAGCGTGGTCATTGGGGCCGAGAGGAGGAGCGAATTCTTGGCTGCCCGACACTCTCTTTTCCTCAGCTTTTTCTGCGAGGGACTTATTTCGAGAGGGGGAACCAAATTCTTTCTCAATCTTTTATCATCCATGGTCGTGACACCCCGTTTCTTGGTCTTAGTACCAATTTCAAGGAGTACTGTGGAGGTTTCCCCTGGGGTCTGTTCATTCATGGTTATGGCCACCACGTCCTCCTCTAGACAGGCTTTTTTGCAGGGGGCTGACATCTCCGACCGATTTCGTTGTGAAATCTTATCGAAGGTGATGCAGCCCTCCCGGAACAGGCCGGAAATAGAGAAGTCCAAGTCTTCCTCGAGTAGTCCATCCCCTTGTGTGTGGGTGCCCTCTTCTGAAGAATTTTCCTCTACGATAGAGGCACTTTTGGATTTTCTCCCGAGTTCAGGCTCTTCATCTGAGGACATGTCTTCATCAGAGGGGTCTGGAATTTCTGTAGGGACAGGCTTCCCTTGTGGCAGGGGGATTACTGTACCCTTGGATACATCGGAGAGAGCAGTTTTCGGACCAGATTTCATCTTCTTCAATTTTATCTTTTTCTTCTTCTCTCAATTCTTGGTTCAAAGTTTAGGGAAAGATTCGTTGGTTTTTCTTATCACTAGATTCGTTTGTTTGTTTTTTTGTCTTTTCCTAAGAGCATCATCCCGTGCACAAAAGACAAAAATATGGTGGTGTATCTTTCGAACTTCTGGCGGAAAATTCATTCTAAGGGCATCGCCGCACCACTCTCGACATGTGCGAAATGAGAATGAACTTCCCGCCGGCCACGTTTTTGTGTTTTTCACACTTCGCGAGTGGTATGGCGATGCCCTAACGCTGAGCCGTTTGGTGTGGCTTCGCAGCTTTGGCGGTGCATCTTTCAAATTTCTGGTGGAAGAGTCATTCTAAGAGCATCACCATGCCACTCTCGAAATGTGCAACATGAGAGTGAACTTCCCGCTGGAACACGGCCAGATGCACCCGCCACGTTTTTGTCTTTTTCACATTTCGAGAGTGGTGTGGCGAGGCCCTAACTTTGAGCCGTTCGGGGAGGCTTTGCACCTTTTTTTTCCTTCCCCCCCCCCCCCTTAAACCATGGCGGGCAATGTGTTCCCCGCGCCCCCCCCCACCTTTTGGTCCCGGGCGCGTTTGCAGGGGGCATCCTCTGGTTGTTGTAATTTGTGAATGTGTCAACCTGTGCTTTTTTTTTTTTTTTTTTTTTTTCTGTGCTGTGTTTTCTGAGTGGCCGCGCACAAACTTTGTGCCCAGAGACCGGCCTGACCCCCCAGCCAGGCAGGACTTTCGGGTGAAGTCCTGGAGAGCCCCAGCGAAAAATCCGAAAAAAAAAAAAAAAAAAAACTGGGAAAAAACTATGTTGTGCAGAATTGCAAATGCAAACAACTTTTGGTGGAGGGTCACCTCAGAATTCCTTACTGAATTGAAGGGAAAAACGAAAATAGAAACAAATCAAACTAAGGCACTACCCTTTAAACCCCTTTCAGCTGTCACCAGTACTTGGCCCAGCTATCGAGTCCAAGCCTTGGCCAACCGGTATGCCGACCCGGGCCGAGGCTCGGACTACCAGGCACAGGCATCGCGAACCTATATCTGAAGTACAGAAAGAGAAACGGGAAAAACAAAACGACAAAAAGAAATAAGAAATAAGAAAAGGAAAAAAAAAAACACATCGCCAAAGAAAGGGTACTGCTTCCTCGCGCGCGCGCACAGAGAGAGAGAGAGAGA